CGCAGATAGCCCTTGTGTAGCTTTGCTCGAAATTCAAAACAAACAAATAAAATATTGCCATTATGTTTGTTGTTGAGCACAAAGATACACAAACTGTGCTCTGCCCGCCACGGGTACTGAAAACTGATTTGTAGAGTTATTACTTTTTTAAATTGTTCCTTTTCTCTAGTCAACTAATGTAAGAATAATCTAACAGTTAATCACGAAGCTCAGTAATCTTTAGTAAGTTCCTGTGCCAATTAACACACAGAGGGCACTTTCAACCCAATGAAAAACTGAATAAAAAAGAACAACGTATTAACCACAAACTAAACTTAATCTTTTACATCCAAATACCTGTCCAATCAAAGATGAAATATATATATATAAAGCAAGAAAATAATCATGAAAAAACATTCCACAAGATTATAAATCTTACAATGATGTAATCTTCCAACAAGAAGACTAAAAAATAATTTTACATTCTGTACATTATATAACTACCTATCCAGTCAAAATACTGACAACTTCATATCATTTATTCAGCTTCAAATATGCTCTGTATAAGCTAGAACAAATTTGCAATAAGATGCCAGTGGAACTATAGTAATCGTATAGATAATGATTACTTCATATGTATACTTGTTACTAGTGACAAGCAGCTCGAAGTTAACATTTTAAATAATTTAGGGTTTTTGGATAATACTAATCAAAATAAAAGTTATCAAATAAACTATAACTGAAAACAAAATTTACTAGAAAGTCCCAATTCAGTAATTATGTCAATTTTATTAATTTAATGAATGACAAACATGATGTATTTATAAGCCTGGTCACATTGTAGCAAGTGAATGGTAACATTGTAGCAAGTGAATGGTAACATTGCAGCAAGTGAATGGTAACATTGCAGCTAAGTGAATGGTAGCATTGTAGCAAGTGAATGGTAACATTGTAGCAAGTGAATGGTAACATTGCAGCAAGTGAATGGTAACATTGCAGCAAGTGAATGGTAACATTGTAGCAAGTGAATGGTAACATTGTAGCAAGTGAATGGTAACATTGTAGCAAGTGAATGGTAACATTGTAGCAAGTGAATGGTAACATTGTAGCAAGTGAATGTAACATTGCAGCAAGTGAATGGTAACATTGCAGCAAGTGAATGGTAACATTGCAGCAAGTGAATGGTAACGTTGTAGCAAGTGAAAATTTTTCCAGTTTTGGTGTGTAAGGCATTTAATGGCCCCAAAAATGGGCAATATTAGCCCCTGAATCTATACTGTATACACCCTTGAAATTCAAACAGAATTAAAACCAAATGTTGATTAATATAAACATATGTAATCCTGATGATGTTTATGAGAAAAATTAAAAGTATGTTATTCAAGTATTCTGAACATGATGGAAACCCATTGGTTATTTTACACATTTAACCATAATTTTAAGAATGATATTTCAAAGAGTGCTGTTATGTTTTTTGAACCCAGCATCTGATGTGAAACAACATATTCCCTGGACCCATAAAAGTAATTTTAATGTATCCAATAAGATTCGTCAGAAGAGACCAACAAATCAGGTTTAACACATTTTGTTAAGTGGTTATAAAATCAAACAGTATAGCCCAACTTTTGAACAAATAATAATTGTAATTTTTCAGAATCAAAAACAGGTTCACTAGTACAATAAATGGTTTCACAGTGTAACATGTGTATTATACGCAGCACATGATACAATGTTGGACTGATAACATTCATGGAGACACAGAGATAGATCACATTATAATAACATATTTTAAGCAACTTATTTCTAAAATCTTTGAATTTCAAAGTTAGTTCCGACCAGTAATTTCACACATAACTAATAATGCCAACATTAGACATGCATCTGCTGGCCAGTAATTTCACACATAACTAATAATGCCAACAGTTATTAATGCCAACATTAGACATGCATCTGCTGATTTTACATATAACTAACATTAACAATCTCAGCATTTGACATATAAATAACAATGTCAACATGACATACACCTACTGGTTTGACATTTAGCTAACAATCTTAACACTTGACACACACACATTTCTTTTACATACAACTAATAATCTCAACAAATGACATAGACACACTGATCTTACATAACATATAACATAACATTAAAGGACAACAAAGAACCTTTTGATCCACCTAGGCCATCTTATCCACTCAATTAAACACTTAAAAACTCAAAGCCAGTCCTTATCATTCAATCATTTATCAAGCTTTCCCTTGAATACTTAATTGAAAAACCTGATTTTTTTATGTCCAAAATATGTGTAATGTTTAATAAAAGCATGTGAAATTTCGTAAAGATACATTAACACTCTCAATATAGGCTCAGTCAATTTGACCAACCACATGACCTCTTTGTCCTCTTATAAAGTCTTTATGGATTTAATACTTCTAACTTTTAGTATAGTGTGTATGTCTTCACAAAATTTGTCAGTCTTTCAGTTAACATTATAAGTCTTTCATATACAAAAAGTCCTATTTTTTATGGTATGATTACCTTCATGGTTTCATGGTGGTTACAAGATAGTGTACACTATGCAAGCCTGTATCCATAAGGTTAACTATCTCAAGACTTAACAGAGACCCACTGATTTTATATACAACTAACAATCTTGACACTTGGCACACACACACACACACAAACTCATTTTAAAATAATCAGCTTCTGAAGCTTAACAGTATATACTTACTATGGTAGGTTTAACAGGAGGTTTCTCATCACAAACATACACCCCTTCTAGAACTTGTAAAATCTTGTAGGCAGCCTGATGTTTTGCTATCCGTTTTGTTCTTCCAAAACCTGACAGACAAATTTAATATACAAATTACAACATTTTTGGAAGCGTTTTTCTGATTATGCTTTGAATTGGAAAAACAAATTTTAATGACAAACAGGGAATCATCTTCATTTCAAAGTTATCAAACATTGGTCAATCTGATTAAACTAAACATAAAAAGCATGTACTGCCCTTAGAACAGATCAAGTCATAACTAGGACTACTCATGTACACCCATGAATAACAATGAAAACTAAAGATGTAAATTTTCTTTCATATAAAATCTTTGTCACTGTTTTCTCCAAAGAATATATAAAAAATTGCCAGTGATAAAAATGTAGAATAATTCATATTGCATGTATGGTTAATATATTTATAGATTATATATTCAAAAAAGGTCAACGGAATGCACCATTTCAGGTTTTAATTTCAATGTGAGAGGTAACGCATATTAAACACAAATTTATACTTACCTATCACAAGAGATAAATTTAATATTGTAACCTAATAAGTGAAAAAAAACAACAACAAGAAACACTTAAACTCTAATTGAAACAAATATAAAAGCTTCAAATCATATCTATTAAAATTATTCACTTCTGGACTTCTTAATAATTAATTTCATCATATATTATCAAAATTATTATCTCTTCGTGCAAAATAAATAATACCCTACTAAAGTGTACTGTTAGACTGAAACAAACATTTTGTTGAAATATCACTGTTTCTTATAACTGTTTGATACACCATTTCTGATACACAAAGAGCTTTCTTTGAGTTTAACACCTGCCACACAAGCCAGCCTAACATCTTGATGTGGATCCAAAACAATTTGTCATTCCAGAAACATTTGGATTGTTTTTACTAGACAAAAAGAAGACATTTGGCACTATTTTTGAGGTTGAGGTCGCTGGACCAGACCCGTGACCTAACCCGAGACCATGAGAGCCGGACCAGACCCGTGACCTAACCCGAGACCATGAGAGCTGGACCAATGAC